GCCATACTGGAAATTCTCAATTTTAGAATTATCGAATTTTGGAAAATTTATATAAAAATTTAACTCTGTTTAAAATAATTATTATCTCATACAATTTTTTAATTCCTAATAAATTAATATTAGGAATCAATTTGTTCGAGCAGAGGTTAAAGAACTCGATAAATTTTTCAACTTATCATTATAATTATTGCAGTTCAATCAATAAATATCTCATAAAATCACATTTTTTTAACATATTAATTCAATCACAGTAAGTTGTCATTCATTGAAGGCACATGCAATTCAGAATAATAAAATTGTTTCGACCAAATATAAGCTATTGTTATAAATGTTAATTATTTTTAAATAGTAATTATTATAAATATATGTACATTTTAATTATTATTATATAAAAACATAAATTGAAATACTGATAATTAATTTAATTTTTGAATAATTATTGTTGACGTTACCATTGATTATTTTGATCGATTAGCGGGCATTCCCATTACACTGTTATTATACATATTGTTCTGTTTTTTTGTGTTGAATTATCTTCAGGGTCAACCATTCTAAAAGGTTAATCGATTAAATCGCGCAAATTAATACTTAAGAAATAAACATTTTAAATTTTTGCTATATACATAATATTTTTCATTTTGTTTTGTTTTTGGTTTTTTTTAAATATTTAATTGAAAATAACGGCAAAAAAATATTTATTTTAATTATAATTGAAAAGAGAATATGAATACAAAGATTTCATGTACATACAATACATAAATATTTACACAATGCAGATATATGTGAATCTACGTCTATATGTTCTCGTAATGTTATGTGCAGTTCACTTAATTAAATTTTATATAGTACATATATTATTTGTGTGTAAATACATGTGCACTGTGCAGTAAGAACCTCATTGCGATAATAGCACGCATATTCTATTTTTATCACGAGACAAGTCTATTTAAAAAAAAAAAAATCTTAAAAAGAATTCATTTTAAAGGAAATACATAAATAAAAATTTATTCAATAAATTATTTGCTAGTTAAAAAAAGAAAATTTTATGAAGGCTATTACCGTAGTTCAACTGAATTCCAGAAATATGGCTTATTGTAGCCCTCCCATATTTTACTTAAACTATCTCGATTCCAAGTAATCCCTACAGAGACATCCCTCAGGGAGTAGAACGTGAACTCCCAAACGCTGAAAAAGTGTCGCCAAAACCATCTACACCTCTTGACGGCCAGATCAAAGCGCAAAATATATATGGCCGTTTCCTCATTGTCCCGGCATAATCTACACAAAACGGAGTTCGATTTTCCCAGTTTGTACGGTATTTCATGAAACAATGTCCAGTGAAGAATTTTATGGAATATATAAAATTACAAATAACATTAGAATTACTGGTGCGAGTTTGTAAATGGAATTCTGTATTGTGTATAGAAATTGTTTTATTTAAATGTAGTATTTAAATATTAAAGATTTGACATAAATTTTTCATATAAAAAAATATTTAACCATCTACCAGAAACTTGTGTCTTTGCTACTTCTTTCAATTACGTACTATTTTGTATCAACTGTTTTTGCTTAAGAGATAACAGTCTTATAAAATAATACGTTTAGGACGTTATAAATGGAACGCACCAATTATTATCACATTTTCAATAAAATTAATAAACAATATCATATTAGTAAATAAACCAATAATACAAATTTTTTTCCGGAACACTTAAGTTTATCGTATTAATTGATAACATTTTAATATAAGTAGTTGTTTAATTAAGAAGATTATTATTTAATAAGTACATAATTTTTCCTATTGTACTCATAATCATACTATAAGATCTAATTATTTTTTGTTAAATTGAAGTTTTGTATATAATGAGAATAAAACGCATGAATAGTGCGGAGAGCAGTAGTATATTCAGAATTTGAATAAAATAATTAGAATTTCAATAGTGCTATATTAAAAATTTATTAGTAATGAATTAGTTAGCGATTAAGAGAGGTCAATTAAATTAGTCTTAAGTAAGATTATAATAAAAATATGTATTGAGGCATAGAACGTTTTTTTAGTATGGTTTCTTTTTAATCCAACAATCAAAACAGCGAATTGCAAGTATCATAAATTTGCATTATACTTGCAACTCACAAAATGAAAAATTTCTTGAATTTTTAAAAAATACTCACCGCACTCCATTTTTTGTGTAGTCGCTTCAAAATTTAAAACCTCTATTTAACCCTTTTAATTTTAATACTTATTATATGTTGTTAAGAAATTTTATGACGAGGTCAATTATTTTTGTATCATATTGTAATTACTAAGTAAATATGGATAAATGACTTTAAATAATTATTTACTTTATGATACAACTTAATCTATATATTCTGGTCTATTTACAAACAAGATAATCTATAAAAAAATATTTTTAATCTACAATAGGATCTAAAAATAAAACAAAATTTAGCCGATAAGGCGATGCAATATCAAAATATTTAATATCGAAAAATTATAAACTTTTTTTTTCATACTTAACTTGCAATATTTACAATAATTTCATTTATGTAGTTATGTTAATAAAATATTTATATATATATATACATATATACAGCGTGATTCACAAAAAATCTTATAAGAAGAATTTTTGGAAGTTTCATAAAAATTCATGAGTACTTAGCGAAGCAAAAAAAGGAATAAAATAAAAGATGAAGAAAAATTGGAATTTTCCTAAAGTTCAAATGCTTGTATTTCTGAAAAAAAAAAATTGAAAAACCAAATTACAGGCTGTTCTTTATTTAAAGCCCTCTTAGAGCTCTTTCAAAAACTATTTGTTTGAAAACTTCTATCTTTTTTGGAACGGAAGTTACAAGCAAAAAAACTTAAATATGTTAAAATTCGCCAAATTTTCTTAAAATCCCTGTAGCTTGGAAACGGTTCCGACTACGGCCTGAACAAAAATACTCTATCCGATGGTATATAGCTCTTAACTTGTTGGTGAATCATCCTGTATATACATAAATAAGATTATTAATTGGCACTCGGATTAACAAATAATGCGAAGAATTCATTGAACAATTAATTTGTTTACTATATTAACAAGCAGAATTACAAAGGTAGACAATGCTGTACACTTATTGCTTCCCTTTTTTTTTTTTGTTGAAATTCTCTTCTATTTATTTTGAATTTTTTGAAGTTTATTTATACAACACAACAATATTATTGTGTATCGATATATGTATGTATATATTTTGTTATCCATATATATTATATATACATGGAATATTTAAAATACATTAAAGGTATAGCGAAAGGTAACTAAACACACACATATTTTGTCAATACAAAAAAAAACAACAACCTTGAACACTGAAAATCTAAAATCTCAGTCAACCGATTAAAAAATGAACTAGTTTTAATTAAAATTTACAAAGAAAAAACAAAATATATCCGTAAATTTATAATAGACCTAAACGGTAGCTACTTACATACGAGTATATAAATATTATTGAGCTGATTACGAATTCATTTTTGCTAACTTGCTACTTTGTATTCTTAACAAGAATACTAAAAAGATTGGTAAAAATAATCTGAACAAAGATTTTTATTTAAAAATCTCAATTCTTTTATTATTATTAAAAAACGAATAAAAAAATGAATGAATTTTTTTCAATTAAAATAGAAAAAATTTTAAAATTTTTAATTAAAATAAAAATTCTTTAATAATAATATGGAAAAGAATAAAAAAATAAAGATTACCTTTTCTATATTGAACATTTTTTAATTAATCTGAATGAAAGAAAATGCGTTTTTGATTGTTGTTTTATGATTCTCAGTTTTTATAGAAAATTATTTTATTAATAAAAATGTTTTTTTTTGTTTTTGCTCTTTTAGTTCAATATTTAAAGAATTTCCTTGAAGTTAAATATAATCAAAGATAAATGATAAATAATTGAAATTTTTAAATATTTAAAGTAAAAATAAATGAATAATTTGCAAGCAAAAAATTCAAAGAATGTTGAATTTTAATTATAAAATAAATTTGAACAAATTGTATTCTATGTTATATAAGTATGGTTTGAATTTTGTTATATAAATCTTAGAGAGGAATAAAAACTCATAAATCTTTGAGAAATAACAAGGCAATCACAAAGCTCGATCACACATAATAGAGAATCACTTTTGCTATATATGTATATATAAAATATAAAAATGATCTGAGCTATTAAGTTCACAAAACTCTGGCGTTTACCCGTGTATTTAAAACAAATATTATAACCATTTAAATTTTAGATCTTATAGGCCATTTAAATTTTGATACAAACAATTTAAATCATTATTAGTAATTTATACCATATATAGCTTTAGAGACTTTTTAAATTTTAAAATATCTTACTATAAATCTGTATGATCTCATCAGGATACTATATTTATGAGAAAAATTTAAACCGGAAAGCTAGGAAAATTAAAATTCCAATAGTGATGGTCTGCTAATTATTATACATCATTATTATTCATAATTACGTCATTATTATACTTAATTTAAAAATCACTAAAAATTATATGAAATTTTTTGCAAAAGAAATTAATAAATATAATCTCAAACAAGTGTTAAAAAAATGCCAATATTTTTTAAGAGAAATTTTTCAATTCATATTCAAATGAAAATAATTTTGATTTAATTTAAATAAATTTTTAATTAAAATGATAATTTTGAATATTTTTTTAAATTTATTGTTAAATATAGAAAATTTTCTATTGTCATTTGGTTTTTAATGTAATTCATTAAATAGAAGGTACTTAGTAAGTAGAGATGGTGCAGATTTTGTGATTTTATGACGCTCATATTATGTTATGAGCTATGATATAACATACACAAAATTGCCATTAACATATGCGCAAATACACAATTATTGTAAAAATACACAATTATTGTATTACTTGTTTTATATTATATTCTGTACATAACTACAAAATTATTTAAAGTTTATATTTAATAATATTTACCTTTTATTTACAGATTAATGCCAACAGCATCCATGATCATTTAGAAGAACATGAAGTATTATTTCTTTTTGGAAATTCAAATTCAAGTAAGAATATTATTGTTAAAATTACATAATAAAAACAAAAAATTAAATGAGTATTGTGCTTGTGCATAAACAAATATACGACCATACGACACAAATTATAAGTAAACGTACAAAACTTGAATGTATGCTTTACTACTAATATTTGCTTATTATTCATATTATACGAGTACTATAGGTATAGAATAAAATATGTCCATAAATGCATATCGTCGGTTTAGTGCTTGCTTCGGGCAAACACCAATAATACTAAGGATTGTCGGGAAAATATTATTAATAAGTTTAAAATTTAATTACTCAAAAACTATTTTAAAGATTTTGATGAAATTTTCCTTATTAAATAAAGAAAAATGTTTTCTGTCTACCAAAATAAAAGATCTGCAGTCAATTTGACTTTTTTAATTTTGGTACAATCTGAATTTTTAACGAAAGTAAGAATGTATGTACTAAATTTATTTTCTATCATTATGTCAAAAACAAGGAAAATTGACGCCAACTTGACATATTTTTGCAGACAAAAATTTCAATATATGCATTGCAAAAAAGAATAGGAGAGAAACATCAAAATGTAAATGGAAAATTATTATTTTTTTTTTTGTAATTAAAGTACCACAGCTGACTAAAATAGAATTGCCATTCTACATTATATATTTGTTTACAAAACTGTGTAACAAAAGTAGATTGCATATTTTGCGTAAAAATTTTGCAGAATAAAATATAAAATTTTAAGAGACCAAAATAATTTTGTATGTATAAGACCAATATAGTTTTTTAACTTTGAATTCATCCCTTGACTCAGGTATTATTAATTTTGCAATCATCGAGTTGTCCTTAGCCGTTTGCAATAAAATATTTATACTTCAGAAAATTCAGGTGTTAAAAATTATTTGGCATGTGAAATGAAATTAATTCACCCAACAAAATACGCTAAAATTAATTGAAAATATGGCAAACTCATAAAGTAATGAAAGATCATCTCCTGAAATACCAAAAACAAAAATAACATGTTATTTGCAAAAAAAGAAAAATGGCGTCTATCCGAAACAAGCACTAAAACGCACGATGTGTACAAGTGAGTTTAAAAAATGAAAAATTCAACATTTTGAAAAGAAGCCAAAGTAACAAGAACAGAAAAAAAAAACAAAAAATTAAAAATCAACAATTAAACTGCAATAAGGAAACAAAAATAACAGTATAAATTTACCAAAAATTCAATAAAAATAAAAGAAAAATAAAAAAAAATGTAAACAAAATCAACAATTCAAAAAATTTACAGTAATGTACTTTACGTGTAATCGCATTTTATTAACAGTACATAATGCTATACACATATTTATATGCTGTACACCATTGTACATGTGTGAACATACATTTAAATAAATTTTGATATACATCTTATATGTGTACGCAATAATAACATATCTATGCTCATTGCTCACTGAAAAACCGTAATGAAAATTCATTGTTTAGAAAATTTATTTTTAATTTCATTTGAACTGATTGCAATCATTTGCAAGTACATAAATAGAAAAAAAAATTAAAAAAAAACATCAAACAAAAAAAAAATTTTTTTTTACTTCTTCCCTTGAATTAAACATTCCGTTTTTATTTTATGTAATTTTGGTTATTTTCTTTGTGCTTCAGCATATTTTTGTGGTATAACTGAACTTTACCGAAAAAATAGCTTTTTAAGTATTTCATAACCTATATATTACGTATTTCCACTCTAAAAAAAGCTACTCTTTATAATAATTATACAAAATTTTAATAGATTTTTATAACATAACCGCTGTGCTTATGTATTTATATATGTGCAAATATTTTAAGTAATTGCATAAGCAATATCACCCTTATCTTACAGAAATATTTGTAGACTCATAAGTATCTACTTGTTTTCCATTATCACTAAATACAAGCTTTTCTTGTAAAGAAAATGTAATTTTTTTTTGTAATCAATTTAGTTAAGTTGTAACAGCGTGTATGGGGTAAATGAATTATTTAAATTTGAAATAACCAATGTAATATTATGTATATATGTATACGCATGTATAATATGCGTTATATGTGAATCCCCAAATTCCCAAAAAACTTTTCGAAATCATTAAAAAAATTTATTTAATTCGAAAAAGACAAGCTAATATTTATTTCATGCGCAACACACCCAATTCATGAGAGCTGATTTTCTTCTATCCTATATAGGAAAAATATATTATATTTTATCGATATAGGAATATTTATTCTATCGATATAGGAACAAAATATATATTATCTCTAATGTGGAGTCTTTTTGAAAGAAAATTTTTTCTTCATTTCAAAAACTTTTTAGTACATAAAGCATTTCTTTAACCTATATACTTTTCCCATACATTTGGGAAAAACATAGGTTAAAATTTCCCATATCCCTTCAAATTTTAAATAAATTCCTTGTGTAAACACAACTTGATCCAATGTTTCTCAGTTAATTTAAATTTTTTTTCATTTTTACTAATAAAATTCTATTAAAAAAATTGCAATATATAACTTTTTGACTCCATATTCTGAAAACAAAAATAATCATAGAACGCATATTATAACAGCGATTTTAAATAAATTATTAATTACTTATACAAAACACTACCAAAAAACAGACAAAAGGCACAAAAATTTGACTCAATAACTAAACGAAAACTTCAATAAATTTGAATCCTAAAATTTAAGAAGATTACATACACTTCAGTTACCTGCAATAATATTTTATATAGAGCACATTTTGAAACAAAATGTTTACATATTTTTGAATATTTTTCGAATTCTTATAAAAGCAAACGACTAACGGTAAATGTCTCATTGATCAAAAAATTTTTTTTATGATTTTATATGATTTTTTATTTTAATACCCCCTAACTAAAAATCGAATTCAACAATATTATGTTAATGATTCTTTTAATTTTTGCTTGCATCCTAAAAATATGCAAAATAGTTATGTATGACATTACTTGAAGTGTGTATAGAATAATTTAATATTTTAATTAGAAGATGTCCAAGAGAAATTTGCTACTTTACAAACTATTAATTTCACTCGATTTTTATTTTGTTTTAATTTTTTCTTAATGACGCCTTAGATTTTTTGAAATAATAATGTTAAAAAATTTTGTACATTTACGGAATATTCAAATATTTTATTTTTTTGACTGTTATATAGCTATTTTTATTTATGAAATAAAAGAAAAACTAAAGTGACTTAATATTAATTCAATAGTGATATGAAGCCAAAAATTATATGCATTGCAATTTCCAAAATTAACAAAGAACTAACAATGAAAATTATTACACTTAATGTATATAATGAAATTTAATGTTAAGCGTCGTGAATACGAGTATCTTAAGAGAAAAATTGTAATCACATATGAGTGTAGTTATGCTGTGATGATTAACTAGAGCATATCAAACTTTTTAAAAACTAAAATTTGTCTACGTTTTTGTTTAATATTTTGATTTTTTTTATTTGAATTCGTATACCCATAACATTTACCATTATATTTTATAATAATTGTCATTTATAATTTTTGTATTTTATTTGGTAATTATAACAAAAAAAAAAATTCCACCAATTTTTAATAACAGATTAACTTTTAATTTTAAATTTTAATTTATTATTATGGAATGGTAAAAGGTGTTTAAATATCATAGGAATAATTTTAATTCTGCAATAGTATTAATTTACGGTATTACAAATTGATTATCAAAATAATTACATATTGTAAAAGAATATTATTAATTAAATTTAAGTTTTATAAAATGACAATTCATTTAATTTTGTAAAATGAAATAAAAAATTAGTGAAATTAATTTTCCGTGTCATATTTTTTTTTAGTTGAACAATTATCTTAAACTAAACTATATACATATTGTATGTGAATGAATAAATGAATTAAGCAACATCTATAATTTAAAAATTAATTATAGGCATTTGCGATCTAATTGTGTCGTTATTACGAAAATTTTAAATTCTGTAATTAATTTGTTGAAGATATCTTGATTAAATTTAAAATTGAATTTAAAAGAAAAGTAAAATTTTTGGTATAAAAAAAATTAATGACAAAAAGTGAACGTGTTTTTTACAATTTCAGTGTAATTTTAGGAAAATAAATATGTAAATATATGTAGAATCGGAATTTCTCAATAAATTTCCATTGTTTACAGAGATTCAAAATATATGAACATATAATTAAATATTTCAAAAAATAATCGCCATAAAATATGGTGCCATAATAATAGTAATTTGATACAAAATAATTAGATACGGTGCAGCAATAATTTGATGGCAAGGCTTTGTTGCAACTCTATTTGTAATATTTAATAATTATTTAAATTTGAAAATGAACTCTTATGACACTTAATCTACATAGGTAGGTGTTCCTAACGGAAAAAAATATGCACATATAAGAATTTAATTAAACATAAAAGGTTAATTGATCAAATGGTATACACATTTCTTGTAAAAATAAATGCAATTATTAATTAATTTTAATACTATTATACATATAATTTTTTTTTTTACTTCATATTATACAATTAATTTATAAAAATAATAAAATTGTTACACCATATAATTATACAAATTAATTATTCTTTAAATTCTAGTTCAACTACAACCCAATATGTAAATTTATATGCAAATTTTTCACATAAATCATCCATGATTCTTACTAATATTCTGTTGATTCTACATTATACATTAAAAAAACCTAAAAACTCTAATTCAATAAATAATAAAAATATTTTACAACAGCAATTTAAATTTGTATAGGTATTCATTATAGTAATTTTTACCAAACATTTCGCACCTCAATATATCACACATATTAAAAAGAAGCTGTGAAATATTTTTTATTTGCATATTAATGACACATATTTTATATATTATTATATATATACTTATATATTACTCAAAAACAAAGTATCACCCACACAAATTACCTAAGTAAACAAAATTATTACAATAAAATCAACTTTATAGCATTTTGTCAATAAATCACCAATATAAACAATTGTTTAACACCTTTTTTTTTGCACAAAAAAAAAAATCATTTAATTTTATATTTTGCTTAATATTGCTGAAAGGGAATTGACAAATTTACTTTATTTTTTTATACGAATATTTCCGCTTAGTGTTATTTTTAAGTTTTCTCTAATACAGTAGAAAATAATTATAAAAAATATTGATTTTAGTGTTCAAAAGCAATAAAAAAGTTTGGTGCACACACAAAATGTAAAAATAACGAAATTGACGGAAAATAAATTACAACGAACGTTGGTACTGAAGCGACAACTCTCAATTCATTAGAATATAACGAATATTTAACGAAATCTCCAAAAAAAAATTTTTACTCATACTTATAAGTGATTTAAATCAACTATTTTTTTAGAAAACTCTTATATCCTACTCAGAATTTAGGTATCCATCATTTGTATATTAATATTTTTCGATGAGGATTGGAATTCGAATAAAATTCTCAAAATAATATAGTCTTTAAATAAAGATAAATATAATTTATACAAACTAATTATTTTATCTACATTTATTATAATCTAAACTACTCTAGCATTTATTAAGGTTTAATTATTATTTTATTTTTATTACAGAACCGGATCTTCATTTTGCACATGTTAATCGTAAAGACATAAGCACAACTTTATCAAAATCAAGAGGAAAACGCTCTCTATCTACACCGCAAAAAGTTTCTATTAAAGTTGAAGGTATACCTATTTTTTTTTTGTATCGTAAAATAAGTATCAAATTTAAAAAAAAAAAATAATAATTAAAAAAAATGTAAATTCTTAAAATTTGCAATTATTTTAACAGTAAATATTAAGAAAATTAATTTTAAAATAAATTTTAAAAGCAGCCGTTCATTATTTTTCAATATAAATAAATCAAATAATGACCAGTTCTTTAACCACATAATTAATTTATTAGTTAATAACATAATTTTCCGTAATAAAAACCAATAGTTATTTATGTTTGTTAATTTTCAAACAATTTTAAAGGAAATTTAAATTAAAATACACGACACTAGATACCGAATGCTAGACACTAAACAAAATGTTAAAAAAAAACCTGAAAAAATTTTTGACTCTTAAGAACTTATGGCCAAAATATAATACCATAATCTGGCAACTTTATAAATAACAATTACAAAAAAAAAAATTCATAAATTTCAAATTTTAAAAACAAAATGTTATTCAATTACGATAATAAAAAAAAATATAATATAAACACACATTTACAATTACCCTACAAATAAGACCTAAATAATTTTTTTTGATTTAAAGTTTCCTGAATTTCAAATTAACATGCAATTAATTTTTAACTACAGAAATAAAACATAGAATGCAATCAAATATAATGCACAAAGAAATATCAAATATATATGTATATATACGATATATACCAAGAAATAATAGTTAAAACTCAAGTTTTATTAAAAAATTGCATTAATTTTAAAAATTTCAAATACACATACATTATAGCTATATACAGGGTGATTCAGTAATCAGTGACATAACATATACCATCATTTAGAACATCAAAAATGATTAAAATTTTTGTTTAGAACTAGATGTGAAATCTCAACGGTTACCATCGAGGTACAGGAATTTTAAAAAATTTCCCCGAAACTTTTACTTGCCCAAGTTTTTGTATGCTTATAACTTCCCTTTCCGAAAAAGATAGAAGTTTCAAATAAACAATTTTGAGCTAGTACAGGGCTTGATATAATAATGTTATCAAGCAATACAATTACTTAATTTTGTATTTTATGTACTTTCGGAATACCATGGTATATTATTGAATCACTTTGTATAAGAAACTATAAAATGAAATTTTATTAAATTTTCATTAACGTTTTATAACAATTTGTTAACTTAGCACATATCAAACAATTTAGCACTTAGCAATTAATACTCTATATATGTGTACATATGTGTACACAAATTTAGAAAACGTATTTGAACATAATTTCTTTATAATATTAAAATATTATTCGCTAAAACAAATTCGCAAAAAATGAATAGAGAAACGAAAAAAAAAGAACAACTGAAATTTTTCCAACCGTTTCCAAAAACATAACAATTTTCTATTATTTGCATTTTAATTAGGTTTTCGAAAAATTAACTGACCACAAAACGATTTTTTCGCATTTTATTTTTTTTTTTTTGCTAAAATCTTACATTAACTATACATATACGGTCTTAGATTTAACACGATTTCTTTTTACCCTATTATAAGTATTGAATAAAATTTTACTTACTTTTTTTTTACTTTCAAAATCAAACCATTTGTGTATGTATACATGTAGCTATGTTCTTATAATACCTTATTGTTTACATTTCTTATATATTAAAATTTACATATAAAATAGTATATTCATTCATGTATTTATATTTATACATAAATTTTATATTTATATAGGTGATAACGGTGAAGAAGTCGATTTAAAATTACAACAAGTAACAAATTTAATAGACGATGCATTTATATTAATTCGACGTTACGAGAATTCATCACAATTCATTACAAATTCACATAAAATGGCAATGGACTATGAAAAATGTTTTTATCGTGATGAAAATTCATCCCTTGACCTTTGTGATGATACATCTGTTGTAAGTATATTTTAATGTTAATTTTAAATACTACTTTATTACCTATTGTTGTTTTTTTTTTTTAAACATTTGTGAAAATTTGTTTGTTTCTGTGTTTTTATATTTACACATATTACATACATATATTACTATGTATAAGTTTTGATTTTCACTCATAATTTTTATGAGTGAAATTTTTTACTTATGTATACATATACAATTAATATTGTATATTTTACAAGAAAAAATTAAAATTTAGAAAACAAAAAATTTGACTTAATTATTTTGACATTGAAAATATTATTGAAAAAATATTAACCATTAAAATTTAAATAATTTATTATTGAAGAAGTTTCTTTTATTTTACGACCCAGTATTTTGTATCATAGACTATTATATTAGGCCTTTTCATAAACACATGTCGAGATATATAGCGAGAACTGCGATATATTAGTGTTCATAAACAAATGTTGCTAATCAATTTTGTTCATAAACATTGCTATAAATATAACAAAATTTCTTTTTGTTTCAGTTTTCTTTTTTTGTTTTTCTTAATTTTTATTTTTCCTGAAATAGAATTTTTCACTGTTTGGCCGAAATGAATAAATTTTTTTTTGCTAACGACATTTTTTGTTCATGAACACAATACTGAAAATTCAAAATAGCAAAAGTTTTTATACAACTGTTAAAAGTATATTGCGTATGTATCACATTATTTTTTTGCAGTATTGTGTTTATGAAAACCTCTATTGCAATAGTACCGTACATTGCTATGTAATAGTAAAAACCGCGTCATATTTATTTTCATAAACAAATGTTGCTAATCCAGCTTCTTAATTTGTAAATATTGCTAAATTATCAGCAATGTAATGGAATTGCTATGTAGGAGTATGAACAGCAAAGTTAAATCTTATAAACTGTTTTGCTTTTGCAGAACAGTCAAAAATATATTGCATAAACATTATGTTTTCGCAGTATTGCATTTTGGACTTTGTTATTGTGCTTATGAAAATCTTTAATATTTTAGGTTATTAATTAAAAAATTTACTACATTTTATTAAAGAGAATTTTCTAAATTTTGTATGTGTATTTGTACATCAACATCTTCATGTACAATTAATGAGGGAAAATATACGTATTGTTGATTGTATTATGATCTCTCAATAAACAGCCAGAAAATTTTCACAATTTTATAAGTGTTTGACTTTTCAATAATATATACATATATCAAATTGAAATATAAGAATACGCTCACTAGGCAAAAACAATTTATGGAAATGAAACGTAATTAAAAAAATTTTTTTATTCTTAGTTTAACACACAATTATTTTATATAAAATCAGGGATTAACTTTAGTAGGGAAACCTAATAATTTTTAGATTTTAGATAGCTTGCAAAAATGACGTAAAATTTCATTAACATTTCAGTAGAACTTACGATAATTACAATAATTAAGCCAAATAATCATTACTATTCACACAATTTTAATTCGGTCCCTTGAAGGAATTTGTTGAATAATTTCCAAAAATTAAAAGTAGTATGAAATTTTTTGAAATAAACCAGAAATTTTCAATAAAAAAATTTTAAATATTTGAAAATATTGTTAATAAATAAGAAAATATTTTTATATAATAAATATAAATTTTTTTTTAAAAGAAAAACCATAAAATATCAAAAGACTTCAGAGAGAAACTTTAAAATTAAATTATAGATAATGTTTTCATTTTTATTGTATTTTAAATTAACAATTTTCAAAAAATGCATTCAAATGGAAAACATATTCAATGCAAGTAACATTTTTTTTAAGATATTTTTCTTTTGTATTTCGTGCAATATTGATTTATGTGTACATATACAAACATATTTTGTAGAAAATAATACAAAATTTTCAAACGTATCAAGAAAATAATAAAAGCAATATTTTTAATTAACTCATTTAATCTACATATATTTCATATATCATTGCAGAGAGGAGTATTTCATTATAATTCAAAAGATTTTTTAATACATCCCCTACCAGAACGTTTTGGTCGTCATTCACATGTGATATTTGAAGCAACACCAATTAAAAACAATAATAATACAAGAAAATCATCAATACTGCAAAATGAAAGATTATTCAATGAAGATAAAAATTCTATGATAAATTTGGAGCATTTTGAACCGGAGATTGATAGTTTTAATGAAATTAACACTGCCACTAATATTAAAATTGCCACAGATTTATTAAATGAGAATCCGCAAAAAAATAATAAATATTCGGAAAATATTTTATGGTCAACCGAGAAATCTATGATACATGAAATTTATGCAAAAAAACATAACTATAATCATAATAATAATATTAATAAAACTATAAATTATAAAAATTTTAATAAAGAGAATAATAGAAATTATAATAATTATGATGAATTTAAAAAAAATAATAACCATAATAATTTTTCAACATATGATCATCAAGATCAAAATTTTTTAAGATTTAAAAGTGATAAAAATTATAATTATAATAATCATATAAATTCAACTTATAATCGTACCATTTTGGATTATGATACATCTACTACTTTAAATAAAGATAATGATCAACATTGGTGGAAACGATATAGAGTTCGACGACATATTGATTCGGCTTCATCGTCTGTTGGTACCGGTATAAATACCGGCAATAGTTGGAAAGCACCACAAGTTTTACATATTGAAACAGCAATTTTTGTTGATCGTGATCTTTTTAAGCATATGGCAAGAAATTTTCCAAAAAATACTGAAAGTCATTTAATACGTTTCGTGTTGGCAATGATAAATGGTGTACAATTATTATATCATCATCCATCATTAGGTCATCAAATAAATTTTGTTTTAAAACGTTTAGAAATCTTGCATAGTGATCCAAAAGAATTGAGACGTAGTAGTGATATTGATATATATTTAAATAATTTTTGTATGTGGCAACGTAAATTAAATCCAACATCAGATTCTGATGTTGTACATTATGATCATGCTGTGATATTAACTGGTTTGGATTTATATGTTGTTGGTAAAAATAATAAAATAAGTAGTCAAGTAGTTGGTTTAGCACCAGTTTCTGGTATGTGTACATCAACATCTTCATGTACAATTAATGAAGGAAAACATTTTGAGAGTGTCTTTGTTGTTGCACATGAAATCGGTCATAAGTAAATTTTTTCTTTTATTTTAATTTAAAAAAATTACCAAAAATGTGAAAATTTTTTAACCTTTGGTTTTTTTTATTATTCGTTTTTATTTTGTAGCTTAGGAATGCGACATGATACAAGCGAAAATAATTGCGATCCAAGCTTATATATTATGTCTCCGACTTTGGGAAGCGGAAAAATTACATGGTCCAAATGTAGCCGGAATTATTTACAAGCCTTTTTAGAGTACGTTACGATTTATTTAAAAATACCATAAAAATTTAGAAAATTTTTAAATTATTTTTTTACTTTTTTCCATTATAGGGCACCACAAGCAAAATGTCTTTTTGATCGTGGTCAATTCGGTCACAGTTTAGATCATTCAGCAGAAGGTATATTGCCAGGTGAAAGATTTGACGCTGACCAACAGTGTATGTTAAAATATGGAAAAGATAGTATAAGAGCGAGAAGGCAACTTTTGACTGATATTTGTAGAGATTTACACTGCCAACGTGATCGATATACATGGACATCACATCCAGCTTTAGAAGGAACTGAATGTGGAGAACTGATGGTAAAATTTGTATATTTTTTGTTTAAATTAAGCATATGAATAAATTTTAATATAAATTTTTAGTGGTGTCGAAGTGGTATATGTATTGCTAAAAATGATGCAACAGTTATTGGACCATATCCAAATCCAAAGGTAAATTATGCATCGAGGAAGCATGTCGATAAAGTTAGTTTCTTAGAAAATAAAAAAATGGCGAGCTTAAGACAGTACAATTTTGACAAGGTAAATTAATAATTAAATTTCTATTTTCCGATATTATAATTTTTTTGTTCGTTTTTTTTTTAATTTAGCCAGCGATATGGAGTGAATGGAGTCATCCAACAGAATGTGCTTCAGGTTGTTTATATGGACCTTCAGGAAGATTAAGAGAAGGTAGCACTGGATTAAGAATATTTACTAGGACCTGCTTAGATTATAAGTAAATATTGAATTTCAACTTTTGAACAATATGATAATTTATTTAATATTTGTAGAAGAAGATGTTCTGGTCAAAATAGAAAATATGAAACGTGCGTAGCGAAGCAGGTATTTTCGTTTAATTACAATTCAATTACCAAAATTATTTGAAGTTGAATTAAATCATTTAAAATATCGTTTCAGTGTTATACAATTGACAAAACTACTATACAAGAATTTGCTACTCAAATATGCGAAAGGGCTACAAAATTTGATAACGATATCATTGGTCATGGATTACAAATTCTTGGAGACAATGGTTGTGATTATAATTTTAATTAAAAGTAAATTAAATTTTAAATATTTTTTTTTTTAGCCGAAGATTCATGCAAAGTATTTTGTAAAACTAAAATTAATTCAACAAAATCTCGTAGTTGGACTTTTCCCGATGGAACTACATGTCAAAATAAAAAATTCGCTCCATCTGATATTGGTTACTGCATAAACGGACGTTGTGAAAGATTTTCATGTGATAATTCAACAAATAATTTATACAAAGTAGAACCGAAATTCTGTCCACAAAATACACTTTTAAAGGCTGATGATATAAAATCAAGTAACAATAATGAGATCTATAATAAAATTAATAGCAATAATATATATAAAGACAATGAACGTGATTATAAGAGTATTATGATGAAAGTTAATGAGAATTACAAACATTTTAACAATAATAATAACGATAATAAGATCAATAATAGTAATTATAACACCAATCAAAAAAGTAATACTGAAGATAATTTAAGTAGAGAAATCTTACGTAATTCAAATAGTAATTACAAAGCAAATAGTTATAATTATGGTAACATAAAAATCAAATAATAAATTGTTAATTAAGGAAATTAAATTCAATATAATTTAAATCTTGATTTTAGAAAATAAATATCGAAATCCTCACGAAACTTCATCAGCATTATCAAAAAATAATATAAATAAAAAATCGGATACATCAACATCATACTCGCGATGGAAATATGAATCGGATCAACCAGTTCAAGAACCACCAGCACGTATTCGGTTACAAATAATGGAAAATGAATGGATGGTAAAATCTGGATGTCATTTTAGTTGTATGGATCGTGCAAAAGGTGTACAAGTTGTACAATCAAAAACAAATCATACCAATAATATACAATTATGTTCACCAAGAATTAAAGTAAATTTTATAACAATTTTGCATACATAATTATTATTAAAAATGAAAATTCACGTTTCATTAATTATTTTCTTAATTATCATAATACTCAACAAATTAAAGTTAGTTATTTACTTTTATTTGTGTTTGTTTCTTTATAGCCATGTGATAAATTACAAACTACAACTGAATTCGCAAAAAATATTTGTAGTCGTTATAAACTTAAAGTAAGAGGTTTATCTGGTTTTGGAATGCAAATTGCACCAAGTGAAAAAGATCCGGATCGTAGTTGTAAAGTTGCATGCCAAGATGAAAGATTACGACACAGATTTTATTTAGTTAATGGTGAATATGGTCTATTTCCATTTGGAACAAAATGTTCAGGCAATGGTGAAAGATATTGTATTAGTGGAAAATGTTTAGAATTTGGTCCAAATTTAATACCATTAACTGAATCATATATGAATTTATCGTTATTTAGAAGAAGAAGAAAAAGAGATTTAACAAATATAGCAAAGCTTGATGACACTAATAAGGAACTAGCAAAATTAAGAAGAGAAAAACGAAATTACATTTATTTTATGCCAATAATTATTAGAGAAAATGTAACACAACAGTTTATAGATAAAATTATCGATAATTTAAGTTTTGAAGTCAAAAATTTAATAGGTAAACTTTTTTCTTAAAAATTTTCTCCTAAAATAAAAATAATTATGTAGTTTTTAATTACAAATCCACATTTTCATTTTTAGACGAATCCATTTCGAATGATCATATAAAATTTGATGACCCTATACATATTTCAATAGATGAACTGACTAAGGACTAATAATAGAAAAATAAAAATACATCTTTTTTGTAAAAGAAAAAAAAAATTCTTAATAAATTTTTTTATAAAATTTTATACATATTTTCACTAATTTATTAAAAAATTTTTTAATCCTTCAAGGCATATTTTCTATTGTACGAAACATTAAGAAGCCATGTTTTCATTCAGAGGTGATAAAAAAACCCTATAGAAAAAAATGCAAAAAAAAAACCTTAAAACCATTTTTGGAACTTAAATTATAATGTTAAACATTAATGTTAAAAATTACTGTCTGCTTTCAATAAAACTTCGTAGCATACCTTAAAACTTTCGTTGCTACATAAAAGCATTCTTAGACGCAATGTTTTCAAAACATCCGTTGTAAAATGTTCCATAACAGATACCATTCATAACTCAGGCTATCTTTATTATCCCGTGACATGTTTATAGTAAGACTTAAAGTCCTTTTCATTTTCCTATCCCTTCTTCTTTTTCCATCTTGCAAAAAATATCTTTCATTTGTTATCCCTTATATTTCCCTACATTTAGAAAATAGTGTAGATAGGCAGTCACGGAAAAATAGTTTTTTTCGTTTATTTCCGATAAAATATTTTCTTTTCTAAAACATATTCATGTTTCAAAAATTGGAATAAATCGCAGATACATACATATATGTATAAATTTTATATATGTTTGTATTTCTAAAATGAATAAAATGTAGAAATTCTGTGAAACTCGAATTCTAGACATTTTAAAAAATCCAAAGAAATTTACTTGCAATTTAGGAAATTTTAATAAAAAAATAAAACAAAGGCTATGGAAAACATTCAAAACAAATTCATAAAAAAATAAATATCAGAATTATTATAGAGGCTGCAAAATTTCATCTGTATTATTATAAATGCTACAAGAAAAAGGAAGTCATTAAAATCTTAAGAACTAATTTTGGAATGTGTACTTTAAAAAATGCAACTTTTATTAATTCAAACTAGTTAAAAAAATTATTAAATATTAAAACAAAAATTTTCATTTCTTAATAATGTGTTGTTTGCAATATTCCCACATAAATAAAGCACCAGTTACATGAACATTCAGAGATCGTACCATACCAAATTGAGGTATTTCAACTGCATAATCCAGAAAAGCGATTAAATTTGCTGGTATCCCCTCTTTTTCATGCCTAACAAAATGGAAAGCATTATTTTTAAGTCTTAAACGAAAAAAAAATATTACCCAAGTAGCAAAATTGTTTTTTTAGGAAAATTAAAATTTACAAAATTCTCTGAATTAGCAGTTTGTTCAGCACCAACAATATCATAACCATTTGATTTCATTTGCACAAGGAAATCTTGCATATTGCATGTTTTCAATTCAAATAAATTTAACCATTTCTCTGCAGTCATACTATAAATATAATTTTAAAAAAGAAAAATTAGTTAAAATGTTAATACTTCTTAAACTAACCTTAAACCTTTGAACTCTTTTGTTTCCGCATATTTCAAAGAACTTATAGCTAATTGCTTTATACCCAATACCTCACAAGTTCTGGCTATTCCGCCTAAATTAGGTAACTTATCTATCAAACTAGCTACAACAATCATATCGGTATCCTTTGAAAAAAAATGTATATAACAGATTACTTTTTGTGTACATACACAATGAAAGAGAATATGCATATGTATGTATATATATATATGTAATATATGAATGTATGTACATAATACCATTTTTGTAACTTCTGTAGATTTCTTTAAAAACGGGTCACCGTTCTCATTCAGAATAAGAGGATTGATTTTTCTTTGCACATTCTCTTGAATAATTAGTAACTCTTCCTGTGGTTTAACTATTTCTTTTTCATAGAATTCATGAAACATATTAAAATTATTCTCCTGAAAATCTTTGTCGAACCATTCATCAAGATCAGTGTGATTTAAACGAGGAATAGCAAAATAGATAACATGCAACTTTAATAGTTCTTCTAAATTTGGCTCCTGAAATCGAAAATCGTAATTTAATTTTTTATAATTTTTCTCAGCAGTTCCCTGTTTTAAACTTTCTAATATTGTTTCTGATAGGAAATAGTAATTCTCCAATTTAAAATATTTAATCAAACTATATATCGTTATTTGTGCATAAAGTCTAATATGAAAATTTTGTCCCATACTCCAAGGTAAAATAAGTTTAATAATTTGATTTAATAAATCAATTTCATTACTTTTGATATAATTGAAACAGTGTATAAATAAAATTGCAAATAAAGAAATAATTCCAGAATTGCGCAAATTTGAACAGTTTTCAAGTAAGTTAAATAGTTTTGAAGATGATATTGTTTTTGCTATAACTAATTCCATAATGTAAGTAACATCAGTTTGGTTATTTTCTTCAAATATACACATTAAAAATCGATCAGTCCAAATATAGTTTTTCGGAATATTTGGAAAAGATGATAATAGCGCCAATGCTTGGATTATCCGTAATTTGAGCTTGTGGTGCTTAGAATTTTTAAAATAACGTGATTTTTTATTTAAATTTTCACTTTCTACTAGAAGTTTATCTCTAAGTTGTATTGTTTCCTGCAAACTAAATATGTTACAAATTAGATGCTTTGTTAGTTTCGCAGTCAATAATCTAATCTTTAAAGAAGATGTCGGCATTCCTGATAGATTGTTCTTTATTATATATTCATATTCGATTCTAAAAAAAATCCGTTTATTTGATTAAAATGAAAATATCTTTTTTGAAAATGATGTACCTTGGTTCTCCTATCAATGGCTCACCAAACGTCAGACCTCTTATAAGAATACTGAATCCTTTTTCAGATGAGAAAAATTTTTTTAAACCGGCATTTAAATTTACAGTTTCCAGTTTCGTAGAAAATACCACTTTATAATATTCATGATTAAATTGATCGATATTCAGAATCAAATTAAGTACTTCAGGAAATTCAGGCAAAATGAACTGAATAAGGTTAATCAATCTAAAAATGAAAATTATTCATCAAAAAAATTTTAAGATTTCAATGCTTAAGTAATCATCTTACGCTTTTTCGATATGTTTAAAACCATTTTTTTTTGAATTTGTGAATATTTCTTGAAAAATTAGTCTGTGAAGCTGAAAATTAAAACATTTTTTCCTCTCCTTGTGGTCGAAACATAAGAAAGTTTTCGATAAAAATTTTCTTTGCAAAAACTCATTTATAGTTTCAAAACTACCTTTACTTAAAAGCATTTCAACGTCTACATCCAGTTTCACATCTTAATAATAAAAACAATAATTTATTGTAAAAAATATTCATATACACAAACCCAGTGTAAATCTACCAAAAATAAAAGTTTCGTCAATCTCTTGTCTTTCCGCTTTTTTCTTAGCTTGAACCAATATTTCTTCACTTCTTTCAAAAACTCCTTTAGCAACAAGATCAACGAAATTTTGTTTTAATATACAAAAATTTACATGATTCTTAAGATCGCTTCTCCCAATTTCATTAAAGTCATTTAGGACAAAATGATACGCATCATCAATATTAAAGTTAACGTTTGTTGATTCGCACATTTCCAAATATACAAGCATGAATTCAATATCTTTCATATTGTTATAATCTAGTAACTTAAGTTTTACAACATCAATCAAATCTTTCTGTGAACAGTGATTAAAGGAAGGAAGAATTTTAAGAATATCATTCATACAGCGATTTAATAAAATATTTCTAACAATTTTAGAAACAGTACGTTCATCAAATCTAAAATGCAGCACCAACAAACTTTTTAAAAACTCAAATGAAATACTAACATTTTCCAAATTCATTTGTTTTATTTTTCTCTCCAAAAAAATTATATCATTTTCTGATTTTTCTTCGTTATCATTGAACAATAATTCCATTAACTTAAAAAAGTTTTCTGCTTTTAAAGTCTCTATTTGTTCCGTAAAAATGTTAAAAAAGTTCTTGCGTATTTCTGATCTTATTATTTTATTTTCTATTCTTCGGACATTACCAGCTAATTTTAATAAGAAGTCTAAATTTGCAATTGATCCATTAGACTCCAGGTTTTTGATTAAAATTTTGTCTAAAATGTTTAGGGATTGTATTAAAACAAATAAGGGAATTGACTTCCAGTTGATATCAACAAGGACTAATAAAAATTTTAGTGGATCTTTTTCAATGAATTTTGTAAAATCATTCGCTTGCAATGCATCATCACCATAATACAAAAACGTGTTATTAAATGCTCCCACAACAATGCTAAGTGACTTCAAACTAAAAATTAAAATTTAAGAAATTTAAAAAAAAGATTATCTTTTAATATTTACCCATCTAAATATTTATCTAAACAAGTGAAATCTTTACATGTGTAATGTTTTAATACAAAATTGGCTGCCCATTTCAAAACTAATGTATTTGTATGTTTCATTATTTCACAAATAATGAAGTTATTCCATATCCCAAAAATTTTAAGTTTTTTTAAATTTTCTAAAGAAGGTAAAATCAAATGAGATTGTTTACCATCTAAACTCTCCAAAATAGTTAAGAATAAATACCAGGAGTTGATAATTTCTTTTGCTTCACATTTCGATAATATAAAAAAATTTGGAACAATAAAGTCATCAGGCTGTGAAGATTCAAGTTCTTCAATGCAAACTTTCAGCCAATAAATCGCAAATTTTCGATTTCCATGTAACAAATTGTGAAGGCAAATTTTCCAAAAATTTTCAGTTTTGTAAAAATGATCTTCCTTAAGAATAATTCTAATAAAGTGCGTAAAAAATTCTCCAAAGTGTACATTATCGAGATCGATCATTTTAATTAACATATCTGCATTTGAACATATGGTAACCAATAATTCTAAACAAATTCGACTACGTTGACGAACCAACTTAATATCTGAATACACGTTAATTATATTAAAATTAGGTAAAGTTTTCATATAAATGCGGTTTGAGTTTAGAATTGTAACAAGATATTGGTGTAGAAGTTCAAATATTAAACTTTTGCATTTTTCTTCTTTTGAATATTTATTCGTTATTCTGTTGAAAAATTTTTCTCCATTTAGTAAAATTTCCTCCGTAATTGAACTGCGACTAATTGTATAATGCAATATCGATAGCACCTTCTTCAAAACGTTCTCATCAAGCATTTTTTCGAAATTCGATTCCAGAACTTTATATAATTCATCTACATTAAATAATAATTCATTTTCAATATCCTTTATTAAATAATACTCATAGCACGTTAAAGCCAAATCGTCGAGCTCTTTCAGTTTTAAAAGCACTAATTTAATACTTTCTTCCATACTTAACAATGGCAAAATATTTTATGTGTATTTATTAAAAATTGGATTTAAAAATATCAAAAATAATTATATTTTATTGCCTTTTAAAAAGAACTTCTTGCACATTTTAAATACCAACAGGTAAAAAAAAACAAATTTGATATGTTTATCTATCACAAAAACATAATTCAAAACAAATTGAATTTGGGAGAAGCTTTGACATTGACATATTAATACAAAACAAGAATGTAAAACTCATTTCTATATTCGAATGAAGTTGCCAGTATATGTTGAAGCTTTTTTTAGCGAGTTTATGTTACCACGAATTGTAAGCACAAAATTAAGAAAAGAACAGAGAAATAGGTACTTTAATCTTAATGGAATTGAAGTTCTATGCGCTTAAACATTTTATGTAGGCTTTTTAAGAATTGCATTAAATTAAAAAGGGCAATATGTTTTATGTAAAATATTTGGTTTCATTTACTCGAAATATTTTTTTTAATCATTGTAACAATTTCAAACAAGTCCAAGGTTGGAGTTAATAATATTAAAGCCAATTCTGAATTTTAATATTTATCTAAGTTATTTTTTCATTTTTACCTAATAAAACTCTACTAATTTATTAGTTAAAACGCTCATCATTTTGGGCGATTTCGATTTTTTCGTCAGTTCAAAGCTAAAAATTTGAATTCTTTCAGAAAAACCTTAGATATGGTCGCATCACAACAAAAACAAAATTTCTATTTAATCAGAACGTGCTTTCACAACTCTGAATCTGACCAGATTCAATCTTTGAGAAAATGAAAACACCCTCAATGAGGGCGCAGTTAAATGCATTACTCGTGTTATATTTCTTACACTGTCAATATGTAAAATTTTATGTTATAAAACTATAATAAATCAAATGCCACAAAATTTTTTATACCTACATACGTACATACCAAAACTAAAAAAAAATTCTTTTCGTTATTTTCAAAATATATGTACAAACTAACTTTGACTAATTGACAAAGTCATAAAATTTACATATTAAATAATTTGCATAAAAGTTTTAAATTGTATAAGGAGAAAAAACCAACTTTGCTGATAATCTGCCTTGTCCATCATTATAAATCTAAAAATTAAGAAACAAGCCAGTTTCTGCTCCCTAATATGGAAAATTATTTAATCGTACCAGCATTTCAAAGCATTATATGTATTTATCTACAACTCAAAAATATTTGATTTAAATTCCACAATTTAAAGATTACAGTTAGAGCACAATTTCATAAGTGTAGTGTCATATTTAAAACTGTTCACAAACTTATTTTTTTGAACTTAATGCATTTGTTTTGTGAACAGGGCTGCTATTTACATTTTACATATAAACGTCAGATTGTTTTATTTTGTGTCATTTGAGGTCATATTGATGCCAGGTTAAAAACAAGGTAAATTAAATTGAATAACAAATATAGGAAATAAAAGGGAAACGTTTTATAAATTATAAATAAATCATAGGAGTAATTATATTTTTAAAAGTATTGTAATGGGCAAACATAAAAAACAGTAAGTATTGAAAACTTTATTAAAGAAGAAAAACTTAAATTAGTTTTTGCACACAGTTCGAAAAAACACGATTCTTCAGCAAACGATTCGAGTGACTCAAATACAACTCAGAATAATGAAAAACACGAAAACAAATCTGTGAGCAAAAAAAAATTGAAGCACAAAGACAGAAAGGAAAGAAGCTCCTCACGAGGCCGTGACCGTGAAAAATCTCGTCATTCAAAAAAAGAAAAAGAGCAATATAAACATAGTTTAAGTAGTCGTAGGAAATCGACTTCATCTTCATCTTCAGATGCTAGCAATAAATCATACAAATTGTTAAAAATGTTAGAAGAAAAACGTGTTCAGCAAGCCATAGATCGCAAACGGGCGAGAGAGGATATGAAAGCGAAGGAAACACCAGAAGAAAAACGAGCAAGGCGTTTACGTGAAAAGCAAATGAAAGAAGCAAAACGTAGAGAACGTATGGGATGGGATAATGAATATCAACATTATACTAACCAAGATAATCCATTTGGTGATGCTCATTTAACGTCAACTTTTGTATGGCATAAAAAACTGGAAAAAGAAGGTCTCGACAATGTAGCTCCTGAAGCAGTGGAAGCTTTAAATCGGAGGAAACAATTGGAAAATAGATTAGAATTAGAAAAAGTAAAGAAACGTAGAATTGAAAGAGAATTAGAAAGACAAAAGAGGGAAGAAGAACTGATACTGCAGCAAAGAACAAAAGAAGCGGCACAATTTGAAGAATGGGAGCGTCAAGAGGATCAGTTTCATCTTGAACAAGCAAGGTTAAGAAGTAAAATTCGCATTCAGGACGGTAGAGCAAAACCAATCGATTTATTAGCTCAATATATATCCAACTCAAATTTGGAGGAAACAATTGAAATGCAAATGCACGAGCCTTATACTTTTCTGAATGGACTTGGTGTTTCGGATTTGGAAGATTTGTTAGTTGACATAAGAGTATATATTGAGCTGGAAAAGGGAAAAAACTCTGAATTTTGGGAAGATATGACTACAATTGTGGAAGATGAATTACAAAAATTAAAAAAATTAGAGTTAGGAGGAGAATATCACGCTAAAGTAGGAAGACGTGAAGGAATTCATCAAAGTGTTGCTAAAGATGTTGCAAACATATTTCGCGGAAAAACTACCAATCAACTTGAGGAACTTAAAAAGAAGATAGAAGCAAAAATTTCAGGCAAAGCTGAAGGTGTTGACATAAGTTATTGGGAGAGTCTACTATCACAATTAAAAGCACATATGGCCAGAGCCCGACTAAAAGATAAACACCAAGAAAACCTAAAACAAAAATTGGAATTATTGAAAAGTGGAGACAGTGTACTTGATAACCAACCATCCGATCAAATTTCTAATATTTGCATTAAAACAGAAAATATTGATGACGCTGATGATTCAAGCCAACATAGTAGAGGAATAAGTGGCAATTCGGAAATAGGTAATCATGGTAAATCTGAGGAAGAGAACGCTCAAGATATATTAGAGTCCTGTTTCCAAACATATGATGAAGGAAGTTACAGTCCCAAATACTTGACTAAATCCGAAATAGATGATAATATTCAAATTATGACTGAAGAACAAGATGAAAAAAATTTGGAAAAATTAAGATACCGTTTGATCAAAGCTGATGAAGAAGAGCAAGAGTATACTAAAGAAGAACTTCTTTTACAAAGGGAAGCCAGAAAAGGAATGAATGACGACGAAGTTGAGTTTTCCGTTGAAACGGAATTAGATTCCCAAGTTTACCTTTGGTCTGATAAATACAGGCCAAGAAAGCCAAGATATTTTAACAGAGTTCACACAGGTTTTGAATGGAACAAATATAATCAAACTCATTATGATATGGATAACCCACCACCAAAAATTGTACAAGGATACAAGTTTAATATTTTCTATCCAGATTTAATTGAAAAAAACTCTACACCACAATATTTTTTGGTAAGTTTAGAAATTGAATAAGTAAAAAACTTTTTGATATGTTTAATAACGTTAATTTTCTATTTGCAGACACCTTGTGCTGATAATAAAGATTTTGCCGTTTTAAGATTTCATGCTGGGCCACCATACGAAGATATTGCCTTTAAAATAGTCAATCGAGAATGGGAATTCAGTTACAAAAGAGGATTTCGATGTCAGTTTCACAATAATATTTTTCAGTTATGGTTCCACTTCAAGAGATATCGTTACAGAAGATAAAAATGTTTATTATTATTAGAATTTTTATACACATGCATATATTTATATTAGTATTTTAATTTCGTAGTTATGGCAAGAAAATGTTAGGTTTTAGGTAAAAAAACATTTAGAATATTCGTGAATTAAAATTACAAATAAAATACATTAGTACTTTTTTTTGATTTATTAACTTACGACTTACAATATATTAATTTATCGACTTACTATTACAGTAAGATTGTTCTGTAAACCAAAATATCACATATCATGGCCTAAATATGCATAAATATGTATATCAAGTTGCGTTCTAAGGGCGGCGCAGACGTGCAATTTTTAGTTTTTCAACTGTTTGATTGCTTGTTTGTATTTCATAGGTTTACATTCAAGGGATTTTTAATTAACGCAATCTATTTGAGTAAAGTCGTAATTGCAAAATTTTTTAATTCATGTCTGTCTGAGTTAGACTTGCCGACCTTCCCGTTTTTGTCGGGACAGACCAGTTTTAGAGTTGAATATCCCGTGTACCGATCATACACGGAACGCAACACCCATTGTTCTGTTTTTAAAAATAAAATATTTTTAATTAATTGCAGCTCTAAAAAAAATTGGAAATTTTTTGCATATATTCTGAAACTACACTTATACATTCTTATTTTTTCTTTCTAATTAGCAACACAATAAATTTCTTTTAGAGTAGCAACACTGGTATATTTTAAATTTTTTATGTCATCCGTAGAATTCTTGTTTCTTTAATTAAAACTGAACTATTGGTTCATTTTAACTTCAGTTTAAAATGTGCCCAATTTGTTGAATTTATTTCTTCAAATAAAGAACTAACAAAAGCTGCTAAAAATGACAAATAGTACAAATTTACAATCAAAGACTTAATAATTAAACTACTTAGATATATGCATGTATTATATTTTTTATATTCCTGTTAATCATAATTGTTTCTTTTAATTGAAATTTTGTTTTATTGTTACCTAAATTTTACGCACAATTAATTAATGTGTTAAAATAAAGTATTGTGTTTTTTTAATAAATAAATTAGAAAGATAATTACATTATGATTGATTTTTTTGTGGCCGTTTTGTATATCTCAAAGGTGGCAAGTTTAATATTGGCCCTTAAACGAATTGTTTAAATTCATACCATTTTAACATTTTCAACCTAAAGCAGAATATTGTGTCTGACAATTTCAATTAAAAATTAATATGATTTTGGTTCATGTCTTAGCTAAATTAAAACAACATTATGATTAATATTTTCAAAAAATATTATGCCAAATCAAAATCGAAAATTTTTTGGTTAAATAGACTACATTTTTTTAGATTTTATTTTTTTAGCAAACTTTTTTCAGTTTGCTTTTTGTAAAACATTGTTATTTCAAAATTACATCAAATGTTCAATCTATTACATAAACAGCAGTCAAAACGGCCACCATAAAATATTCAAACTTTTATTTTTTTTAACGAAGCTCCTAAATTCCCTCCCGATTTTATAGTTCGTCAAGTTGCCGTAAAAATTGATATGGCTTACAAGAAAGTTAAAGCGTCAAATAGAAAGCGTCACTGATATGCTATTGGTTTCGGCTTATTTTGACATGGCTTCCCTCACTCAGTTGACAGCTAAATTAGAAAATAATAATTTATGTCAAAAGGAAAACTAAAAAATAGTGTTTTAGTTTTAATTTTCTCTCGAATAAATAATATAATTGGTAAATTAAAAATTAATAAATTGTAAATTAATATAAAGTTTTTAATAAAAACAATAGCTATGCTATCAAAATGGACAAAAAGCTACTGGATTTCAAGCTACTGGTAAGAATTTTTTCCTTTTTCTTTTGGTTTTTTTTTTCTTTTTGGGCCACCAATCCCAACGAAAACCATTTATAATAATGGAATTCATTTTCAATGGGGGTTTTTTTACAATAAATATGAAAGCGTATGGTTCTAAATGAAAAGAGAATTGTAATGCTACTTTTGAATTTTTTTATGAAAATGAACGCCAAAATGCGAATTTAATAACCTTTAATATTTTAATTTAAAGCTTGTTCTTAATTTTTTTTCCTATTGCTTGTCCCCCATTTTTAATTATTTAATTTATGACATTTGGTACATATTGGACAACACCATAGTTAAGAAATGCTGAAAATTCTTATAGGAGAAATTTTCTTTATTTGAATTAAAATTTTCTTTTCTTGAATTTTTTATTTCTAGGTTGATAGAGCTTTCGAGATTTTAGAAGATTTATCTCAACAGGAGTGCATTGAAGCAATCAATTATGTATTGGCTTTAATGAAAACAAAATTTCGTGAATCCTGTGAACAAATTAAACGCGATTATTATGCCAAAGAATTGGCACTCAGTCGTCAACAACAACACCATCAATTACAAAAACAAAAAACAAGCAGTGGCAGTGGCAATAGTAGTAGTAGTAGTAGTATAAAAGGCTTCCATAATAATACAAATAATATTAATAATAGTAGGCAACCGTTAAGATTAAATGCTGCAGGTGCATCTGATTTAAATCAGAATTTTGAAAAAATTATGTGCAAAGAAGAATTACCAGATTCATATGATGATGAGAAATTCGATCTGGCACAACATACTAAATACATTAATGCAACGGGAAGTTTTCAGTCAAAATTCATAGAAAATATTCAATCAGGAAGTCATGGTGGTAATTGGGGCCTTCATAATTTCAACTATAGCAACAGCAAAAATTTGCAGTTAAATAGATTTAAAGGTAAGCTATTAAAAAAATAGTACATTTGAAAACAAATTAAAACCTCGCTAAATTTTAAAAAAACTTATTTATTACTTAAAATATGTAATTTGGATCGGTTGAACATACTTTCAAATCGGAAATGAACTAAAATTTTTACAAAAACTTTTGTAAAAATTTGGTCGGACTGATTGAAGTTTTTTCAAATTAAATAAAGATTCACAAAATTAAAAACTAAAAATAAAATTGGACTTAATAGCATTATTGTTACGTAAAAATTGTTTTACAGGTAACAATTTGAGTGAGAAACTACTTATCAACATACCGAAGGGTAAACAATTTCATATAAAATTCAATAGAGGGCCGCAATTCACGTTTTATACAAAAGATGAAATTAAATTCTATTTGGAATTTCAAAGATTCGAATCACTATTTAATACTAGAGCCTTCAAGCAGCAATTTCGTGACTTATTGGAATACGCTGTAAAAAATATAAATCACCATAAGCCTTTTTTAAGAGATGTTTATAAAAATCTCATATTGTCGGGTGGTATTGATGGAATCAAACCAATTCGGCAAATAAAATATGAATCCAAAACAAATACTAATAATAATAGCTATGATAACTACTCAAAATATTCATCTAAATTAAATGAATATATCCAAATAAAAAAAGGAGAATCATCAGCATCATCTTATTATAATGATTATACGGATATTAAAATGGAAGAGATGTTCAATGATGGTGGTCCGTCAAATGGTGAATTTATGAGTGAGAATGGTTTAATGATGCTAGACTATGGGACATATCCGTCATTAAATTGTTTAGAGGAAACAACAAGCCAAAATACAGATGATAGTTCAGAAGATATTCTAAATTCATCAATAAGTCCACCTGGAA